TCCGCAAAAATCATAAAAAACCCGAACCAATACACCAGTTCAAAATATAGGACTGATGATTTCAACCAATTCCAGACTGCTCGTTCTTCATTCAGTCTACTAAAAGACCGCACACAGTCAAGGACTGGCCCGAGTCATCAATTACTATATTTTAAACCAGTGGGCCAATTCGAACCGGTACTCTTTGAGTCCGGTTCGAACATGACTTTTTTAGTCCGGTTCAAAGAAGGTCTACGGTCTAGAAATGTGAAATATAAATTTATGATATGGTCGAGTTTTAATAATAATAAATGTATTTATATAGTTTTTGTCAAATAAAAAAAAAGAAATTTTTTTGTGATGTTAAAATGACTTTACAGCATGGATGTGTCAATTCAAGGGCATGACAGTATAGTATCCTTGATGAATGGAGCTTGAAAACATTCTTAAGGTTTGGATGCATACAGTGGTGACAAACACAATCGAGTTTAGGAATACTGTTCGCCACAGGTTGACTGAAAATGTCTGGAAATGGTCAAAAGATTTTCGTTTTGCTGTTTATTTATTTCACTATAGATTTTATTTTCTTAAACAGTTTAAAAGTTGGATATAAATGTGGAAAGTGTTTACTTGTTTTAATTTACTTTCAACGATTGAAAATTTAAGCAGAAATTATATTTTAAGAAAACTAATGTGAACTTGATCTCAAAATATGATGCATTTGGTACAAGTTTGATCTACAAATGAGGAGGCTTTGGGGTCTTTTGATAACTTCTGAACGAAACAATTTAGAGGCCACCTCATAATCAGTCAACATTCAGAGCATTTAATATAGTTTGATTTTGATACAACATTTGCATGGTTAAGGGAACCTACATTCTCTTAGAGCATTGGGTGTGGGCAACAAGGTGCAACACCAAGTTGTGCCACCTCACATGTCACCTAAGCAAATGGTGTTATGACACCAAGTGGAAAAATGGGCAACAAGATGCAACAAGATGCAACACCAACTTTTTGAAAATAAATATTTTTATTTTTGTAATTTTTTTTACTATTTCATATTTTTTTTTACTTTTTTTTTTGGCTTTCGTTTTTTTTTCTTTTTGTGTTTTTTTAATAACTAATATATTTTTTATAAAACATATAATTTTAAAAACAAAAAAAAGACATAATATTTAAAATCTAAAATTCCGATTACAATTAAAAAAACATAATTTTAAACCTAAATTAATAACTAAAATATCATTCAAATTACTACTAAAACCACACCAATCCTAATTAACCCAAATATTTTTTCCTAATTTGTTCCTTCATCGCTTGTAGCACCGCTAGATCAGCAAGCGCTAAACCCTCCTCGCTTGTCCGAAGAATTGACAACTGATGTGTCATTAGTTCCCTCTCTTTTTGTTCCTGCTTCTCACGTGTCTGCCTTTCCAGGAACTCCAAATGACGACGTTTCAACTCATTTTTTTCTTTTATTAATAAATTGTGCTCGTCGAATTTGGCTCTCATTTCCGCTGCATCTTTTGCTCTCGTCTCCACCTCCTCCGCATGCCTTGCAGCGCGCCTCGCTTTGTCGTGTCCGGGCGGTCGTCGTGGTGGGGATATCTCTTGGATATCATCCGGGATCTCATCGTCATCGGCGTTTAGGTCGATGTTAGTCCGTGCGTCCGACACGTCGACCGAGCTAGAATTGCGAGACCTTTTGGATTGAACCTCCCACGATGTAAGTGTTTTATTCCACTTTGGATCCGCTCGCAACAATTCCCATGATTTTTTTCAAAGTCGAAAACATGACCCATTTCGACCCGATATTGTTCCTTAGCCGATTTGAACAAATCGAAGTCGTTGGTTCCGCTTTGTTGTTGCGCCTCAAGCCGGTTGTAAATACTGTTGAATTTGCTGCGCCGCTTAGTTATCATACCCCATTTGCTGCTCAACATGTCATTGTTGCGATACGGATTTTTCTTTAAAATAGCGTGAAACTTGTCGAGCACCGCCCCCCAATAAGCTCCTTTTTTCATTCCATTTCCGCGAAGTTCGTTTTTTGAAGTAGCACACCAAGCCGCCGTCAAAGCGTATTCCTCCTCCGGTGTCCACCATTGTGGAACGTCTGCATTTTCTGTTTCTACCGCTATTGATTTCCCTTTTGATTTTCCTTTCCCTTTCCCTTTCTTACTACTTCCCGCTTCCACTTGAACTGATGGTTGTGTTGTAGGCGATGGTTGGTTGGTTGTTTGTTGCATCGAACCAAAAGTAGAGAAAAGATTTTGTTGTAAATTTGGGTTTTGACCAAATTGATTTTGTTGAACGTAAGGTGAGTTGGGAAATTGCAGTGGCGGTGAAGCGGGATTGAAAGTGGCACTTTGGTATGGGATTTGTGGTGAACCTTGAGACGACAAAAGGTTGAAATAATTTTCATACCCCGCAAATCCGAGAGGCGAGTTTGTGTTTGGGTTTGATGATGGAGGGGGAGTGTTTGGGTTTTGTTCCATTTTTTGAAATTTTAATGAAAAAATGTGTATAAGATATAGAGAGAATGAGAGAAAGGTATATAAAAATTTGAAATAAAGTATATATATATCGGTAAAAAAGTAAATTTTTTTTTTGAATTCGACCGTTATCAAACGGTCTAAATGGCAACGGGTAATTTTTTTGCGTTACATTTCGTTTCCATGGCAACGAGAACCGGACGACGAGATGCAACGAGTTGGGGGGGGGGGGGGTGTTCCCCCCGTTACGACCGCCACGTCCTCCTCGTCGCTCCTCGTCGAGGCCCATACCGTTCGCCTTAACCATTAAGAGGTTGAAAATCATTCAACACAATGAATTATAGTAACTTACATTTCCGGTTTCTAGCTATAGCTGATTACTCAATTTTAGTCCTAAAAAGATTTTTATTGCAACTTCGATTTATTTTTTGAGGTTTTCGTAATTTTTTTTCTTGAATCTCTGTAACCCCGTTCCATGTCAAATGACTATAATTTTTTTGACTAAAATTGCAAAAACAAACTATATCCAGGAACTAAAAATAATCATATTACTTTGAATAGGAACAAAAAAACATTACAATAACTCAAATAAATACTAAAATTGCAAAAATCAATTATATGCAAGGACGAAAAAATAATTTACTCCAAGAAAAAACAATAAAACCGAATGATATAGCTTCTAATAATCCCTATAAATTTAGACAAGTTTCAAAACAATACCATGATACTTTTTTTTTAATTTCTATGATCCACGTTAATCCCAAAAGTAGTCTTTTTGGCATACTCCATAAAGAAGTTTGGAATAGTTTCAGAATAATTGATATCACATTACCTATTTGTCCGTTCCAATTATTAAAAACATTAATAATACTGATTTGGGGTCACAATATTTCCTTGTTTTGGCATTATTTACATAACATTTTTTCTAAAACATTGTGTCATGTCAAACTTTAAACTTATTGTAGGAATGAATGACAGAACACCTTTCCACTTCAGTCTGTCTAAATACTTTAATACTTTTCTTCTTACTACAAATTAAGATTCCAAATGTCATAATAACACTTGTATAGGAATCTCCATTCATTTTCATGTTTTAAACCTTTTGTTTATTTATATATAGTTAAAATACCCATGAAGTTTTTGACATACATAGAAATATTCAATAAAAATGGATTTATCAATTTATGCTATTTTATGCAAGAATGTATTGGTACACGATAAGTATGTTGCTTTTTCTTGCATTATACTTTATTCCTATAGAAATTTTATAATTAAATTAAAAATATGAAATACCTACATGAATCATAATTGTTTACCTTTCCATTACAAGGAAAGAAAACAACTTTTTTGTGATGAAATCCACCATTGTTTAGCCATTAATGTAGTAGCTTTCACCTGCATACATAAAAGAACACAACAAATTATTATCTAAAGGCAAAAAGAAAGGAAAAGGTAAAAGACACGGCACATAAAAAGAACATAAAAAATTATTGTCTAAAGTCAAAAAGCACAAAAAGGAAATGATAAAAGACATGACCGTACAAGACAAACTCTTTAGGTCTACTTTGGAGGATGTCAAGGACATTTATGTCTTTTGCGTATATAAAATATCAAGAGCAAATCTATGCCCTACCTTTTTGGATAAGACAAAAATTACACTTTTTGTCTTATTAACCTCAGTAGGGTTCACTGTTTGGATAAAACTGTCGAGTTTGACAATTTAGATCGGACTATTTGGTTCGAATATTTGGATTTTTGGATTGGTTTTCAACAAAACCGAATTATTATTTTAGATTTTGGATTGGTTTTGGTTTATAAAATAAGATTCGAATAGTTCAAAAAAAACGAATAATAATTTATTATTTATTTATTTTTAATATATCTATAATCATTTGTTAATTATATAATTTATTTTTTTAAATAAGTTCAAAAAGTTTCACCTAATAAAAAACATTAATATGCATTTTCTTTCAAAGTTTTTTATCTATTAAATATTAAACTATAATATACCTTCTTAGTAGTTCTTTATAAATTTTAAATCACAACTAAATAATTTGTTTTTGTTTCTTCTGTAAAAATTGGATAATAGTATAATTATATGTCGTTTTAAAATGTTCTGGTTTTCGAAAACCGAATTATAAAAACCGCTCTAACCGAATTGAAATCGGATCGGATTTGAATTTAGTTTGGACTATTTGGATCCATATTTTGAAAACCGAAATCAATTTGGATTTACTTAATTGGATCGGATCGAACCGATCCATCCAAACGAACAGCCCTAAACCTCAGTCTCAGTTAATCTATTTTAGGATGACAAAAAGTTACACTTCTTGCTTTATTGACTTCAGTCCCAATCAATTCTTTTTGGGAAGGACAAAAAATATACTTTTTTTGTGTTATCCCAGTCAGTCATATCTGGATAGGACAAAAAAATACAGTTTTTGTTGACGTTAGTTGTTCAAGGTTCTAATCAATTTCTTGTTCTTATAACATATTAAATTCCATGTAAATTTCATAAACCTAAAAAGATCACCAAAGGTCCTTGCATGAGCAAGATCCATCCACAAAGTGATGAAATCTATTTGAATCTCTCAATACAATTTTCCTACCAATAATTCTTGAAACAAACTTCATAAAAACATGACAATCACCACAAACCCTAATATTCTTCAAAATCCTAATTGGTTGCTTTCCTTCACCTTTCCTCATCAACCCATAAACAAGAGCCAATTTTTCACTATGGTAACATATAGATTCAAACTTTTCATTATCCCCCACATCATGCAACACCAAATCTTTATTTGGACTAAATCCAGATTCCACTAATCTTCTTATCATCTCATTTAATCTCCGATAAATAAGTTTTGATTCAGGATGTGTTCGATCTTCTGACACAAATTTATAAACGTTTCCATCAATTTCAACCCAACTAAAAGCAGCAAACTTTTTAACATTCTTGTTATTCATAAGTTTTCTCATGGATGCCACATCATTCCATCTACCATTAACAGCGTATAGATTCGAAAGAGTTATATAAGGTTCAGCATTGAACGGGTCCACCTCAGATAAGTGTCTTGCTGCCAGCTCAGCATGTTCTATGTCACCTTTGAGTTTACAAACAGACAAAAGAGTTGACCAAATAAGACTATTCGGTTTTAAAGGCATACACTTTATCATTTCAATAGCTTTTTCTATACGATTTGATCGACCATAAAGATTGATCATACACGCGTAATGATCCAAATTTGGTAAAATCCCGTATTTTTCTTTCATTAAAAGAAAATATTTTTCTCCCTTCTCAGTAAGACCTTCATGGATACAAGCAGAAAGAACACCAATAAAAGTAATTCCATCTGGCTTTATGTTATCTTTCAACATTTCTTCATAAAGTATTAGTGAATCAAGATCTTTACCATTTTGTGCATACCCTAAAATCATTGAATTCCAAGAAACGATTGTTTTGGTATTTATAGTATTGAAAATCTCCCGAGCTTGACTTGGTTGACCACATTTTGAATACATATCAACAAGGGCACTTGACACAAGTGTGTCCTTTTCAACTCCCATGTGTATTGCTTTTGTGTGAATTGTTTGACCATAAAATAAAGAAGCTAATTTAGCACATGAACTCACTACACTTGAAATTGTAAACTTGTCTGGTTTGATGTTATTGATTAACATCTTGCTAAATAACATCAAGGCATCTTCTTCTTTCCCATTTTGGACATAACCTGAGATCATTGTTGTCCAAGAAATGACATCTTTGTCCTCAACCTCTGTAAAAAGTTTATGTGCTTCATCTATTTTCCCGGTTTGAAAGAAAGCACCAAGAACATTTGAAACTGTAACCATGTCTGGTTTTATACTAGACAACTTCATTTCATGAAACAGTTCTAGGCATTCTTCTGGTAACCCGTTTTTCATGCATCCAGAAATCATTGAATTCCATGAAACAACATTCTTGTTAGACATAAGGTTAAACAAACAACGAGCAGCATTAATCTCACCACATTTAGCATAGAAATCAGTCAAAGAATTGCAGATGAAACCATTGGAGAGTAAGCCACAAGCTATGATCTTTCCATGAACTTGCTTCCCATGCCTTAAATCCAAGACCCGTGAACATGCATTTAACACGCTCACATAAGTATGCCCAGTTGCCTGAAATCCTTCTTTTTGCATTTTAACAAACACCTTCAAGGCGTCTCTTGCAAGACCTCTTGAAGCCAAGCCCGCAATCACGGTGTTGTATGAAACAAAATCCCGACTTGGCATGTCAATGAATAGTCGCTGTAACTCATCGACAGACCCTGTTTTAGAGTAAGCTTTTAACATAGCGTTGTAAGTGAAGATATCTCGTTGGGGCAATTTATCGAACAGGTTCTGTGCATCCAAAAGTTTGCCAGATTTAGCGTACACGTCAAGAAGACGATTGTGGATAAAAGTGGTGTTGGGTTCGTAGAGATTTTCGTCCATGTGAGATTGCAAGCGCTTGGCTTGATGGCCATCACTGAATCGAACACAATCAAGGACAAGGCGAGTGTATGCTTCAGGGTTGACATAATTGTATCTGTAAAGAGAATCAACTGCTTCCTTGAGCTTGTACTTTGGGTGCATTTAGACCTGTTTTATGCCTCTAATCCAATTTCGCAGCTTTCTTTTGGGTCCATTACGTTTACAACGATTTCATTTTAGCAACTCGTACAAAGAAAAGAAGGAAGCTCTTACGGCCTGGCTACTCTCTTCATAATGATCTCGACTTTTTATTTTCTTTAGTGATTAATGGAATAAAGTTTAAAAGATAAGGGTGTGTTTAGTTGCGGAAAAATTGCTGGAAAAATTTTCCAAAAAAATGAGAACTTTGAAAACGCGTTTAGTTCGTCTATTTTTCTAAATTTTTCACGGAAAATGAAAATTTTCCGTTTTCTAAAATTACAAAGAAGTTAGAAATTTTTGGAAAACTGTCATCACCACCACTGCCGCCGACCCGCTATCGTCACCGCCCTCACCCACACCCTACCACCGCTACCGTTTTCTAAAAATGAAAACCGATAGAAAAATACACATCTAAACACGCTAATTTTCTAAAACTGAAAATGAAAAATGAATAAGTTTAACTAAACGCGTTTTCTAAATTTTTCAATGAAAAATGAAAACAGAAAACGAAAATCGAAAAGGGAAAACAAAAAACGGAAAATAAAAATTGTTTTTCCGTAACTAAACGCAACCTAAGTATTTAGTAAGATAATCATTTTTCCTTTTTTACAAAACAATGGTATCGGTATCTGGTTTTGCCCTCCCTCCTTAAGGTCGAGGGTTCAAGTCTCGTGAGGAACATAGGTGGAGATTTAAGAGTAGTATAGGAGTAGATTAGAGTTGTTGTTCCAAAAAAATGGTTTTTTATTTAATAAATTGAAAATGCTTATTATTTTGTTGAAAATATTTATTGTCAGTGGAAATTAATTTACAATTTATCGATGTTTTAACTCTAAAAAACTATTGCACACACAAACTGCAAAAATGACACGTATGGTATGCAGTTTTGGTCCGGTTGGGTTGGTTCCAATTCTAAACACCTTTTTAGATAACATTTTTTTTTAAAAGAACTGAACCAAATCATAACCGGTTGAAACCGTATAACAACATTCGGTTCTTAGTTTAAGGTTTATCCAGTTTTCGGTTTATTCGGTTATGGTTATGGTATGATTCAAAGCAGTTTCGAATCATTAAACCGTAAGGGTTATAGTTGGAGATATTTTAGCCATTTCTTAGTTAGGTCGGTTCTTGGCCTAATATAAACAAGAGACATGTAGTTGTGAGTCTAAAACCCAAATGGTATAGTAACTTGTGATCATTCAGTTCAATTCAATCATTAAACCATTATCATATAAATTCTTTTATTCTCATGCCTAAAGTGCATAAAAAAATATATGTTTTTATAAAAAATCACAAAAGATAATTATATTAGAAGAGGGTTTTAACAAAAAGGCCAATGACTTGATAAGATAATAAACCATGTCTCATGTATACATTTAGTTACTTAACCTTTTTAATACATGATTGACCATTAAACTCAAAATTTTTGTTCAAGAAACATCAGTTTCACCGGTTATTATAGGTCTAGCTAGTTTACTGGAAACTCTTAGAAAAAAGAAAACACTATTTTACATGTTCATTTTTTTAAAAACATTGCAAAATACATATACAAGATCTTGTATTTTCTCTCCTCATCGGTACAAGACCACCATTAAATCATGTACCTAGGTAACACTCATCCTTCTCTATGCATTCGTCCCTCCAATCTCCCCTTTATCTTATTTTGTCTCTCTCGTGCCTCCATTACTCCACAAAAGCATCCCTCTCTCTCTCTCTCTCTCTCTCTCTCTCTCTCTCCATTACTCCACAAAAACGATTAACCTACTATTGTTTTCGGTCTCCTCTTCGGTCAACACGCCCCTATCCTTCTTTGTACCAACGCTGACATCCTCATGTTGCCGCTCATAACTTTCCTTTCTTATCTCCCTCTCCCGGTACTTTACAAAAATCATCATACCCACACATCATTTTCTTGTCGCCTCCTTGAATCGTACACCACCAGCAACCAACTATGTTTAAGAAATCAATTTTCTTATTAGAATTTAAGTTTAATAGATTAGGGCTTTGAATATGAGATTTAATCAATTTTTAAGAAATTCTCCATCCTTTTAGCATGAATTTTTCTCGTGGTTCCATTTAAGATCAAACTCCAACATCACATTGAGATTTCACCCTAGGGATCGTTCTTCTTCGAATCGGTATGCAAACTACTATGCATTTTTTTGAGAAATCAATGTATAATTATGTATCCATGTATGTACAATGTTTCCACAAAACCCTCAATTGTATCTATACTTTTTGTAAATTGGTATTCAAAAGTAGCAAGATATCTACATATATAATATACTCTACATCATTCAGAACACATCCGTATTAAGTAAATTAGGTCGATAAGATTAAAAAATGTCCCTTAATATGTCATATATTTTACTCATCAATGCCCACCGGATCAATAAAATTTTGTTTTATAAACAAATACAAATACGGGTATGCAATCAAATAACTTCGGTTAGTTTTTATCCAATAATTACTCCATTATTCACCTACAATAAATTAGTTAATCTTGGATTAAATGGTAGATTTTTTATGGTAACATGTCACTATTCAAATGTTGATGAATTTATAGCTTTGTGAGAAGACAATCGATATAAATAAGTAACTAGAAAGGTTACCCCCGCTACGCGGGGGCCAGAAGCTTTCAATGTTGTTTCCGAATTGATAAATATGACAGACATAGAAAGTGCAAGGATGAAAAGTCCGGGCTTTGCTCCGGACAAAAAATATAAAAGTTTTGACTGCAATGACCAGAAGTGTGAAAATGGCTAAAGAATTAAAGGGGTAGGAATTAGCAACTTTTTAGAAAAGGGATCAAAGTTGTCAAACCGTTAAAGTTTTGTGGCCAAACTTTAAATATTAAAAGGTTCCAAAAAAGTGTAAAAATATTGATTGCAAGGACCAAAAGTGTCAAAATGGGTAAAGAATAATGAGCAAAGTTGCCAAAAAAACATGTTTCAACAATAATACAGGGACCAATTCTACCAAAAAAATGGGAAGTTGAATGGAACACAAACAAAAAGACATGAATAAATTAATTAAAGAAGTACAGGGACCGGATATGTAAATTAAGGTACCAAACCTGGACAAAGTATGTCAACTTCACTATTCCTTTCTTCCACAACTTTAATATATATATATATATATATATATATATATATATATATATATATATATATATATATATATATAATAAGGGCATCCAAGAAAACACAATTCCACCAAAATTAAAATACAAAATTATAACCCTTACAAATTACAATTACTAAAAAACCAAGAAGCTTAATAGGAATATCGAAAGTATTATTATCACGATGGTTCTGAATATAAAAACAAAAAACGGATTAAAAAAGAGAAAATCGTACCTTACAATCTTGCTGATGAATTTGATGAAAAATCAGGTACATAAAAATAATAATAAATAAATAAATAGTGAATTAGTTTATGACTTCATGTAATGTAACTCGCTGCTATCAAATTCGCCCACATCGACCAGACGAAGAACTTTTTTTCCGGTTATATTGCTGAGGTGAGGAAGAACAATCGTCCCTACGGGGACATCCGATAAAATTGGAACGATACAGAGAAGATTAGCATGGCCCCTGCGCAAGGATGACACGCACAAATCGAGAAATGGTCCAAATTTTTTTCCCCGTCTTCGCCTTGCCTGAACCCTAATTTCCTTTCGGAGTCGAAAGTCGATGCAGCGGGGAATTTTGGTGGAATTGCACGGATTTTCATAAGGTATTTGTCAAATCCAACGTCTTCTAAGCTATGTGGAATCTTTAGTCTTTCTTTGTTATATATGTGATTTGTTTCTACGCTCTGTACTTAAATTAGGGCATGTTCCAAATGTTTTATCAGGTAGATTGCTAGTTAACATTGCCAACTATGTGATTCACAAGTATTTTTGCCATTGTGCGTGTGTGTTTGAATATGAACAGCTGTTTACATCTGTAGTTTTTTCTGTTCATTTGTCTCTACACATTGTACCTGAAAGGGCTTATTTTCAATTCAATCTATTAACTAGACCTTCTTAACTTAAGATGATCAACTTTGTGATCTTTAAATTGTTAAATGGTCTTGTGACTTGTGAGGTGATTGAACTATGATTCAGCCCCATTTGCTTGCCATAGTCAATCAGCAAATCATGATGTTTTGAATGATCTCTGACCAAAAAAAGCTTGATTTTTAAAAATGTTTATAAATGCATTGATTATTTGAAATGAACGTAATTCATCTAAATGTGTAAAGGTTGCTATTGATTATATGTATATAAACCTTGTTATAATTAAGGGTCGTTTGTTTTTTGCTCTACCAGTTCATGGTGGAGTTTTAACTTTCAATTTAGTTCAAAATGTTATAAAGCAAAAAGCATATTCTAGCTTTCAATTTAATTCAAAATGGTCAAATTTGGTCAAACGAGTTGCAAAATTAATTTCAAGGGTAAATATGTTCCTATTACAACATTATACTTTAGGAAACCTAGATTTTTCAAAGTAAAACGTTCTAATATGGGAAAAGTAGAAAGTAGATTGCTATTTTCTCTACTCATAATAGCCACATAGTTACATATTTTTATACATAATAGTAACGTTTTACTTACATTTTACCTTACTTACATTTTACCAACAATACGGGCAATGTACTTTATTCTACGGGTTTGGAATTTGCATCTGATATGATGTGAATAGACATTGGTGATGTGTATTCATCAATATGCTTTTTATCATAAACGAAAAAGGTACACATGCAAATAAACTTTAAGAGTGACACGTTTAAACAAACTTTTAAGGTTTCATGTACCATAGTACTGAAAGTGCCCTTCATGTAGGGGCATACAGATGTTACGACTTTAGTCTTTGATTGCTAGTGATCGCTGTGTGGGGTAGGATGTTGCATTAATATATTTGGTAAAGCAAGTAGCATTTATTGGTATTATTTTCAAAACATTATATTGTATTTAA